CATTTCTTAATCGTGGACCAACCTATGTTCCACCATGTCAAATACATATTTTATCAAAATCTTCTTTACTACTGGCTCAAATCGTTACGAAACAAATGGCACCACTTCAACGAGAACTTACAAAACTTTTCATCAAATATCCAATCGATCTCTCTCGTCAAATGCATTTTGAAAACGGGATTGAACAATTATTCAATAAATCATTTCTTCAACCTATGCCTTCTGTACTTGAAGAGCGTGCACTCTATGAAAAACAACTCATTCTATCAATTAGATATCAATTAAATAAAGATCAATTGATTCTACGGCGAACCGCTGATGAAATGAATACATATTATCTTGGTCGATTGAATGAATTTAATCAAAAATCGAATGAATATATTCAGAATTCAACTTGTTACGAACTAATCGAAACAATTAATGAAATTAATACAGAACAACAACAATTAGAAGGAATTATTCAATTTATTGATTTACAACTAGAAATATTATATCAAAGAAAATTGATTAAAGAAGATCATTTAATCAGATTAAGTATTGGCAAAAAAACAAATATCAATCTTCCATATCTTTATTTCTTACCAGAAACAAATGAAAATGTTTATATGTCAGTACAACCACGACTATCGTCATGTCAGCATTGTCCAATATACACTCTAGCTACTTATCTTAATCAACTTCTTCGACCATTATTTGATAATTTTTCGCGATCAACAACATTTCTTAATGGTGGTGATTTCATACAAAAACTACAATATTATTGTATACAACTAGATCTTCTTCTACCGAAAACATATTTTGCAACATTGAAAATTCATGATTTATATACAATGATATCACATTCGGCTCTTCTTGAAGCATTAGATATATTTCTAGTAAATCCACTTGTCAATGGTCGACATCAAAAATTATCAAGTGATGCTATTCAAGAATTAACTGCAATAGTCTTACGAAATAATATTTTCTCTTACAATGGAAAAATCTATCGATTTATTAAAGGAGGTCCATTAAATTTACCATTACTAGAATTATTATGTCATATTTATATGTATCATTGGCAATATTCATTAGTTACACATATTTGTTTGAAAGATGCATTCTATGG